AAAGCAGAAAATGAAAGAAATTTGTTGTCAGGGTAATAAATTGGTTTATATTTTAACTTGAATAAAAACCTTAATGTCAAGGTATAAGTGCAGGACTAATAGATATAGTTCAAGTTTAATAATTAAGCATTAGCAACTTTTCCTATCGACCTCGAGCAGCACGTAAACACCACGGTAATTGGTGTACCACACATCCACAGCTAACGTGTCAGATAGCTAAGAGCTTTGGAAAGCTGCTTCAAATTGGGTTTATTACATTGCATCAAAGAATCACGGACAAACTGAGCTAAAGTTAGCTTTCAGGGTGATTTTTAGACAATAAAAAGAAAGACACTTTATAAACACATCATAGTCCTAGCACAGTTTTACTGTCAAAGCATTTTGCCTGTAGCAAGCAACACTGTGCTTTAAGAGAAGCTGCATCTGTACGGAGTTCAAACGAACATATTGCTGAAAAGTAGAGAGAGCTCTGACTCCAATCAAACGAATGACTGTTTTGGCTTTATAACATGTTTTCCATCCTTAACTTCAATCTAAACCAAATGCCCATCTTTCTTGCTGTTCATGCAACGCAACCGCAGCACATGCTTAAATATAGGAAAATTGCAAGTGCCTAACTGTATCAAATTGTACTTCCATCTAGTCTGGAATCTACATCAGGCAGAGGATAATACCTTCTGTTTCAGAAGAAAGAAACTATTCTCCAACACTAATTCACTTAGAAACTGTTCCGCAGATCTAGCCAAACAGCTGCTGGGCATGGAGATCTGGACAATCAAACAGGTCTTTTCTAATTCTAAACCCAGAAATCTTCCTCCCAAGCAGTACAGCAGTGTCAGAGATTCTTTACAGTGCTACGCTAGCAGGTCTGGCATCTACCAGGTACAGAAATTCTGCTGGCAAAGTACCTGGCTAGCAACATACCTTGTGGTATTATCTCTGCCGTAAGAATCTTGCTATAAATTAGCCCTCCAAGGCAGAGCTCCATGGTGTACAGACCCCTTCACATCCCAGCAAAAACCAGGAAAATTTTCCTTGCCTAGCTGCCAATTGAATGGACAACCCTAAAAAGGGAAATTTAATTTTAAAGTTGTGTCTCTTCACGACCTCCTGGAACAGCAAATTTGCAGGTCGGTTACAATCTGCTTAAAGAGTCCTTTCGTTTCAGTGGTTCCAGCGGCGCCGTTCCTGCCATTTTAATGTTACAGCCCCGATCCGCCGCTGCTCCTCTCTTTGGTGTTCTCACCCCACAAGAAAAGCTTCTGTGGAGCTCAGGAGATTTGCATAAGCTGTGTGTGTGCAAAACTTTGATGTGCATTGTCGCCGCTGCCTGAGTGTGCGTCTCTGAATATTTGAAAAGGTGGCAACAAGTCAATCAAAAGATGGTTAATTCAAATGAAAACCAGCTTCTGGTGCTTAATACACCTTGTTATATTTTGTTTGTCATTATCACTCCAGACCAGTGACTCAGCCCTGTAAAACCTTCAGCTTGATCGCAGTGTTGACACATGATACCAGCCGTTCGCCTGCCACGGACTTCTATTTATGCCTCCTCTCCTCTTCTTTGGAAAAGTCCAGCAAGATAAATGAACCTCAGACTATTAAATACCATAAGGACTTTCATAAAAAAAATTGGAAACTCTGCCTTTTAGCCTTAAACAAATGATTTAGTAAGTGCTTCAGAGGAATTAAAAAAAATGAACTGGCTTCAGCAAAGAACATCAGAAATGACCCAGTGCCTTCTTGTTTCCACGCAGCTCTGCTGGCCTCAGATGGTCACCCACCACAGTTGTGCCTGAGCATCTGCCACACAAAAAGTATCGCCAACAGCAGAGCCCCTCGTGGATCTCCTGCTCTCTCCAGCTCCACACACTCGTATGGGTAGGTAGAGCCTGTGATGGGTAGTTTTTAATATTTAAATGGACTGTGAAGTGCCTGATGCTGTGAAGAGCTTTCTGAAGCCCTAGATGTTTTTTCTGAAGTATTTCCATTAATTAATCAGTGTATAAAAAAGTAAAGTAAATGCCAAGCTGCTGCCGTGGGACCTGATCCAAAGTCCATTCACTTAAATGGGAGCCTTTCCATTGACCTCAGTGTGTTTTGGAAGATGAAAATGGTCATTAAAAAGATGATGTCTTTGGCTGTTTTAACTAACGAGAGCAGACGGAAACTAGCCAAGTTCCCAACGCTCATGAGCTCTTATATAGATTAAACCTTCTTACTACTGCTTAACTTATACCTGACCACTCAAAGGGTCCCCATGGCATCGAAAAGAGCAAGATCCTGCTTAAATGAGGAAAGAAAATGCAACTATGCAAATAGAGGGGAAAAGAAACAAAAGCTGGAGGAAAAGCTGAAATTTGTTTTGCAAACAGACCAGGTTATTTAAAAAAATTATCAAGTTCCTGGTAAGAACTGGATTGTTTTTAACAGAATGCAAAACAACTCAGCTTAACTTAGTGAAAGTACTAACATTTTGACTCCCTGATTCTTTTTTTTTTTTCTTTTGGGTTAGATGATACAATTCTTCTCTGCAACTTGACAGGATGTAGAAAATAATTACAAATGAAAAGGTTATTCATAATTTTTAAATGAGTTAATTAGTAAACCCCGCCAGAGTCACTCATTACAGTAATTAATAATTGATTATACTTGAAATTAAACACAATTTTTCATCAAAATCTAATTAAATATCTGCCTTTTTGCTTGTTGATTAGAACACTGGGTCTGGTAGAGATAATCTTTGCTAAATATGTTTATGCTGAACTGAACCATCAAATTTGATTTTTAATAATTGATAGTTCCTTTAGAAATTAGTAATTATGACCCATAATTACAGCAGTTCAACCTGATCAGCATTTCTGGCACCTCGCCAGCCATCCATGGAGCTTGGCAAACGCCACAGGATTCATCCAAAAGGGGAAAAAAGGATGGGAGGGCACTCAATGGACCTACCTTTTAACCACCTTAACTGTGATTTTAAACAGAAGCCTGATCTTTTCAGAACTCTGAAGAAGGTTTTCGAGTTGGAGAACACCAAGTGGCAAACCAGACTCTTCTCAATCTATCAAATGGCACACACCTCCTTCGTCAGAATTAACAGGCACCGCTACTCTGAGGTATAACGACACACCTCTGACACACTGAGATAACGTCCAAAGGAACCATGTTCAGGCCGTCACAAGAAAACCAGACAAATGAGAAAGGCGAGTCCAAACGTACGTAGCAAATGATGAAAATTAACTGCGTATTTCATCAAACTGCTGCTGATTTAATGTTTTTTTTCCTGCTCCTCTTACAGGAGGCATAAAAGTGACCAGAGAATGATGCAAGGCAGGAGTGGAAAAGTATCAGTCATTAAAGAAGTGTACATAAAAGGAACACAGTAAAAGCAATCCTTTGTGGTAGTGCTAATTATACTCATGTGAAATGAAAGCAAAAATCTTTCGATCCAGGCTAAGATTTGTAATTCTAACCACAAGCTTTTATAGATCATTAGTGTACAGGAAGTCACAGTAAAATCAAAAAGGCTCATTTGTGCCATGAGAAATGGGCTTTTTTACCTATGATCACATCTGTAGGTGTCTGATAACTGGAGTTTGCATCACTGACAGTTTAAAATAGGAGTCTAGGAATGGACCTTTTGTAAGACATTTATAATACAAGTACAAAATGTAACTGAAGAAAAAGTAATCATAATATCCCAACTTTACAGGCTTTACAATTTTCACTTCTAAGAGTTCAATTACTTTTGCAACAACCACTGAGAACACTTTTTTTGCAATGAACACTGACAACCTGTATAAACCAAAGAAATTCAGATCACGCACAGCTCAAGAAAAATCACAGAATCATAGAATCATAGAAAGGTTTGGATCATCTCGTTCCAACCCCCTGCCATGGGCAGGGACACCTCCCACTAGCCCAGGTTGCCCAAAGCCTCATCCAGCCTGGCCTTGAACCCCTCCAGGGATGGGGCATCCACAGCTTCTCTGGGCAACCTGGGCCACTGCCTGACCACCATCACAGGAAAACATTTCTTCCTAATATCTCATCTAAATCTCCCCTCTTTCAGCTTGAAACCATTACCCTCGTCCTGTCCCTGCACCACCCGATCCCTACC